GGAAAGGGTAATCATAAATTAATAAAAGAAATTATAGCAGATAATCATCTTTTCCCAGACTCCGTTTAAAGGTACATTCTACCTTATTCTAATTATTGGGCAGCTGAAGTATTTCAGAGTATAAAACATCTTTTCAACCATTAAAATCTATCTTTTTTTGCATGTACAGTTGTGTTGGTTTTCATTTAATTCTTTATATTCTGCTGTTTCAAATAAAAGCGAGCTTAAAGCAGCTTTTCTAAATATGAAATATAAAACCAAATCACAACTCCAAACTTCAGCTCATTGTTTGATACAATCTTTCAGTGGTTCTTGGCTCTTCATTGGCTTCTGTAGAAGGGTGCTGCACATGGAAAGACCAACAAGTATGTTCGTGAGCAGCCTTCGTGGGAGGGACAGAATTTAAGAAAATAGGAGAAGTCACAGGATTATGCAACGATTAGGCTGGCACACGGACACTATATATATTTCAGCCCACCCCACTCGGTCCAGCAGAAGGGGCAGGTTGCAGACCCCACCGGTCAAGGAATTTCGATTGGTGGGGTCTAGGCAGAGGGCCTTTTCTGCTGTGGCTCCCCTCCTATGGAACATCTTGCCTCCCGAGGGCCGGGGTGCCCCCTCCCTCATGGCCTTCAGAAAAGGGGTTAAATCCTGGCTCTGCCAGAAGGCCTGGTGGCCGGATGGGGGCTCACATCTGTGGAGATGGCTGGTGGGGTGATGGGTTTGGTTCCCCCCCAGCATCTTGAAGGTTTTAGGGCTAAAATTTACAGGGGGGGGGGGTTACGACATTCTTAATGTATGTTTCTATTTTAATTATTCATGGATTTTAGCCATTGTTGGAGGGATTGGTGTTTTTTCCGTTTTTGTGAGCCGCCCAGAGTCACCCATTGGGGGAGGTGGGCAGCATACAGGTTTAACAATAAATAAATAAATAAATAAATAAATAAATGATCCGGATTTTTATACATGGGCATTGGAATAGAAAGCTAGCAATCCCAGCTACAGGAATGTTATAAGCATATACTGAAATTCAAATTCAAAGAACACAAAGAATTCTTTACAGATTTTTCCACTGAAGGCTAAAAGATATAGCATTAAGCCCAATACATTATGGAGCAGGACTTTACAGAATTTCATCTCCCACCACCAATTTACCTTGTATCCATAGGTATGCAGACTATAACACATGCATAGGACCACAATCAGAGTGGAGGACATTCTAAACTTTTAACCAATGCAAATAAAATGAACTGCTGTATCATAATCAATGTATACAAATTTGTTATTAAAGAGCAGATTTATACAGTCTTGAGAAATGGTATGGCTTGACATATTCGGGATTGGGATCTTGAATATGAAATGCAATGCCATTTATTGACATGTTTATAAGCAACAGTTTATAACCCTCTCTTTTAATCATAGATTTGAATGTTCAAGGAATTAAAGTATAGTATATTTATGGTGTGGGGAGATGGGCGGGGACAAGTCAAATAAATAAATAAATAAATAAATGTGTTATGTTTCCTAGGAGATCAAAGTACCCATGCTGTATTGTTTAAAGTAATTTTATTAAGCATTACAGTTAAAAAGATAAAAACTGATATAAATATAAAAGAAGGAATAGAAGAAATAGAAAGTGCAGAAAGTAAAAAAAGAAAAACAGAAAAGAAAAAAAGGATATAGTAAATAAAAGAAATATATAAAGAAATGACTTCTCCCTTCATCATAACAAATTTAAACAATTTCAGTAACTTATCACCCTCCCTTAAAATAGAACAAATGATCTCTTCTTCCCATATCCCATCTCTTATCTATGAACAAATCCTTAAAACCTTGTTGTTCAGTCCTGATCAACAAAAGTCCATTAAGGGTTACAAGAGATAACATATCTATTTTAACCTTTATCAAATAAATCAAATTTAAATTCCTTTATTTTACTTTTAACAAACTTGATCTTTAATCCCTTCAAATAATGTTCTAGAACTTGATTTTTCTTTTCTTTTTTTAATCCCTTCTCACAAGATTCTTCAAAACTTTAACAAGTCTCTTTTGTAAATCTATTATAGGAAACTTATCCAGATCACTCTTTTGGTTTGTTATTTGTATATCCCTTTTAATTATTAAGACATCAGCCAGCTTCATTTGTATATCCAGTGTACCATTTTTTTCCATATCATTCTTGAAGCTTGTCATTTTTAAATCCACTTTCAGATCAGTCTCAGTCTTGTCCAGTGAAACTTGTTCCTCTTCCTTAACATCTTTTAAGGATGGTCTGTCTATAATGGCAGACAAATGTCTAGATCCATTGTTCACAAATATCTTTCAATATGTCCAATGCTAAAGTATTTTGCTCCATTCAATATAAGCAAGTCAAATTTAGGTGTTCTTCTCCTTTAATTGTAATCTTTAGTTCTTTAGTTTCTAGTTCCCTCTAGTGTCCAATCTTCAAAGTCCCATCCTATCATGTTTTATTTTTTTAAGAATTCAAAACAGCAGCATTTTCCCATGGGAAGAATTCTTATAATTAATTTCAAAATCTTATTTCAAATCTATATGGACCCTTAGTCCATTGGTAACTTTCCAAAATCAATGTTCTAATCACCCTTTTGCTGTGATTAAGTCCTTAAGCCCGTATTTAAAATTTATTTTGTGAAGGATCGAAGGAGACTCACCCAGTGCTGTAAAAAAAAAAACAAGAAAAAAAACTTGTTGTTCTGAAGGTTCTTAATAACTGGAAAGCAGTTAACAAGCAATTTCTAAAGGTGTTTAGAAAAGGAAGTATGTGAACCCTGTGTCCATAAAGGTGCTGACCACGGTTTGGGCTAAAATGGCATTCCCTCATCTCCCAGAGCTCTAAACCCACTAGAGACTGCTGTCTTGCAGTTTCCCCGTGAGGAGCAACTGTCTGGAGCACTTGTGGGCATTTCGTTCTGCTGCAGTCATCTTCAGTTCGCCATTTCTTTCCTGGAAGTCCCATGCTATATTTTTTTAAATCTGTTTTAGCCTAGACTTGATCTTACTTGCAGGTAACTAGCACCACCTTCTGTGAATACTTGTGACTTAACTTTACACTGTTACAGGCAGAGGTAATTGTTTTACCGCTCAATGGTATTTATTGTGTTATGCTTCCCCTTTAAGGTTTAAATATTTTCCATGCTCACTGATAGATTGTGGATTTTAGATTTATTCATTCAAGGAATGATTTTCAGGGTTAAGGTGCAGAAAGGGCAGATGCCTAAACCATGGGGGTTTATTGGAGGCACCAGAAGGCAGGAATTGGGTTTTTTTCTTCTCAGCTGTGGCCATATAGAGTCCCAGCTGCTTCATTTCTTTACTTTCCACTCAGATATTTCCCAGCTAGCTTCATGCTATGTTTTAAGGTAGCTTGGTTTACAGCCCTCTTCAACTGGAGAAATAGTAGTGGAGATGTGAGGTTTCAGAAAGGCTGGTCTGATTTGGAATATTTGCTGGAGAGGGTCCCTCCCTCACTACCATCAGAGCACTTTGGCCATCAAACTCAGAGCCTTTTTGGAATCTTCTATCATATTGGCAGGATACTAGATGCCAGGAACCCATGGAATACATGAAGAGCCTTAGGAAGTACATTTCCCAGAATTTCTAATGCCCAGAAATGTTGGGAAGCAGAGCAGCTACAGCTTGTCTGCCAGAAACAACAGGTAAATATTGTTCTAAGGATTTGTCTTTCACAAATCCTTGGCTGCTATTAGACCAAAGCTGGATTGCACCGTGAGAACCTTGTAGAAATATTTCTTTGTTGCAGCTACTAATTTAATAGAGAGAAGGATTATGGGGCACGTTGCTCTGGTCCTGTGGATCCTTAAAAGACATGGGTTATTTTCTGATGAAGGGGTTTTTAATCAAGGTAGTTACTCATCACTATTAGAAAACAAATTAGCAAGAGTGATAGAGAGAGCCTATTGCCAGTCCACTCTTTGAAAGTGAAAAAAAAAGTGGGGGTGGGGTGGGAGGACAATGTGGAAATAGCATATTTCCTCTAAACTGGAACATTCTGTTTCTTTCTCTGCCTCTAATTTGGCTCCCAGAAAAATCTCCCAGCTTTCTTCATTTTGCAAACGACTTGCATGCCTATATTAAAGAGAACTTTATTGATGCAAACCACTTTAATCATTTTGGCAAGTTGGCAAAAGTTGCAGTTTGTTTGGAGGGTTAGCTAATGGCTCTTAATAACTGCTTTTCTGAGTGGCTGAGTAATACCTGGAATAGAAATATCTCTTCTCCTTTTCCCTGCCTCTCCCCTACGGCTGGTGTTATAATTCAGATTCCTGCGAGGGAAACAAAGGACAGTGCAATTTGAATTTGACACAGATGGAGGCAGGCAGAGAGTGCTTCCAGACAGAGGGCACCCAGTGCTATCAATCGCAAGGCATTGCACAAGCTATTCCATCTTTTCCTTCATAATGGATTTTTTTGGCGATAAGAAAAAAGCCTAAAGAAGTGGCAGACAAACACAAGAAGGTTACAGATGGAAAGCAAGGGCTTAGCTTGGCTTCTCAGTAAAATTCTGTCAATGAAGTAATTCCACAATAAAAGCACTCCCCGAAAGCTTGGTCTGGGGCATCTCTCTCTCTCAGTAGCCTGATAAGAAGCAGCAGCGTTTGGCTGTTGGAACGTTGATAAGCTGTGCTCCATCTACGCTCAGTCAGTATATTGGTAGAAAGTGCAAGTATTGTAAATTGCCAGGGATCTCCTTCCAAAGAATATGAACGAGTGCTAGGCATGTTACACTCTAAGTCTTGGAATTAATAGGCCAAAGGCAGACTGAGCCATGACAGAAGGTATGGAATATCACTGTCTGGAAAAGGAAGAAAGTGATGTGCCTCATTTTACTGAAAAGCTCTTAAGAGTGTGATACTGTGTGTTATATGACAGGAATAATTCTAGTGGTGCTGCTTTGGGTTGTCAATAAATCTGATTCTTTTCTTTTCCCTCCCCCGCCCTTTTTTTCCCTTCTCCCTTAGACTGTCTACAAAGCCTGGCTCTGTTCCCAGTATTTTGAAGTCACACAGTCTCATTGCAACCACACAATTCCTTGCAAGCAATACTGTTTGGAGGTTCAGACAAGGTGTCCATTTATATTACCAGACAATGATGATGTCATCTATGGAGGATTATCCAGTTTCATCTGTACAGGTATGGCAGATTTCAGCAGCTGTTTCTAAGACCCCTTTCTGGAGCTATTCTCTGTAGCCTGAGAGCAACATATGATTAAGAATTCCTTTCCACTTTCCACTCAAGACCTCCTTCTCCATTATATATCCCACAAGAATGATGTTGTTGCCCTGTAATCCTCAGGAGCTTTCACTTTTGTCTTCTCTCTTTCCCACTTTCCCTCCTCCTCATTTCTGCTTATGCATGACTCATCTGCCTTAGACACCAATTTACTTTATTTGTTCTCTTTTTATATCAGTTCCGGGAGATAATTCTGCTCGCATGTTCTCATGTACTTCCTATTTACGTTACCTGTGCAGATCCCTCAGCTTGGACAATATGTTTTTTTTTTTTTTAAGAGCCTGTTAAAATAAAGCTTCCTGTGCTATTGATGGAGGCTAAGATGTAAAACTCAATGTGCAGAATGAAAAAGTAAGATTCACTTTCAAAACAGGTACCTTTTGGAGAATCATCATGCCCTCTTTGCATCCGCTGTCTCCCAATGCTGGGATCGCCTCTGCTTGCAACTGTGACTTACCAACACCACTAGAGAATCTGAGCTATAAATTGCACGCTGTGTACCTGTGTGTAAACTTGTCCAACTGTATTCCTAGAGCTTGCAAAAATGACGACAAACTGAACTATTGAAAGAATAAAGGGCTATACTCAAACATAGAGCCAGTTTGGTGTAGTGGCTAAGGCATCAAGCTGGAAACCGGGAGACTGTGAGTTCTGGTCCTGCCTTAGGCACAAAGCCAGCTGGGTGACCTTGGGCCAGACACTCACTCTCAGCCCTAGGAAGGAAGCAATGGCAAACCACTTTTGAAAAACCTTGCCAAGAAAACTGCGGGGACTACTCCAGGTAGTCACCGAGAGTCAACACTGACTTGAAGGCACACACATGCACAAACGCACACACACACTTGAATATGGGCAACAGAAATTCTAGGTTTTTTAATACTGCTGGGAGAATAATTAATTATTGAATATGAAGCATCCATTCTCATTCTTGCTTTTGACATGACTATTAACTTTGATATATGCCTACAATATGACAAATTAAATATGATAAATATGCAGTGCAAATAAATTCTTCACTTTTAAAGATCTACTATTAGGATTTTTTTTTTAAAGTAGGGAATTTTATATGCCTGTACTGAGTTCTGGGACTTCATAAAAATCCTTTGGAATTAACAGGAATATTAAACATTTTGTAGCATGGGTGCCATTCTTCTTCCTTCTGGTCTGCCTGGGGAAACAAGGGAATTAAAGCTAGTGTAGTGTTTGTCAATCAAAGCATTCAAGCCTCACTAACAAAAGGGTCCAAAATTTTCACCCTGGGTACTGTGGAGCTGTGCAGGGGAGGTTCATATAAACGTTCAGAAGTCTAGGAGGCTTAGCTCATCGGCATCCACGGGAAGACAAGGGGATCAATGCTGATTCATGTGTACTGATTAAATCACACCATTTCCACAACTTATGAATTTGCATCATATGTCCTGGCACAAGTACATAATCTCAGAATTTTTGTGGTTATGTCACCCACACTACACAAACGTGTAATATTTTGGCATCATCATGGTTTGCTGACTGGGCGACTGAACAGGTGATATTAAGAGACAGGCTGTGTATTTTGAGTAACAACCATAAATTAGTCTCTCCAAATCTAACACCATCTAGATTTATGGGAATACAAACTCCATGATCCCCAATGCTATGACACTTGGCTGGCTTAGAAGATGGGAATTTCACCTAATGCACCTGGAAAATACACTTTGGGAAATGCTGGCCTAGATGCTAAATGATAAATGGTTGATTTATGAGCAGAATAATGTTATTAAACAATCGTATGAACATGTACTAACACACACGCATGTTTGTTTATTGGCTGGTACTAAATTAATAGAAATCCCAGTCAATCAATACATGCCAAAGTAGGCATATGCTGTGAAATAATGCAAAGTAGAAGAAAGAATAGAAATCCACAGATGAAGAAAGTGCCTCAGTGTTCAGAATTATGCATTTGCATTCTGTAAAATCCCAACAAGTTTATTTTTATAGTAACTCACAATCCCAAAATCATGAATCATATAACTTGATGGAAGGCAAACTTCATGATCAGAACATGGGTGACTCTTTATCAGGAACCACTACTTTTCTTGCTATTGTTCACACTAGTGTCTTTGAACAGTACAGGAGCTTCTCTACTAATAATATCATAGGGTAGAAATAAATATAACTTATAATAATGCCCAGATTACTACTGAACTGTCCACTTGTCTTTAGAAACTCTTGTCTCCAATAGTTCTGATTTATGAAAGGCTCTGAAACCTGAATTTGAGCTACTGCTATCACTTTTTCTGAATTTCTGCAGGATTAAAACAACAAAATGTGGAGCTTCTTAAATAAGCCTCAGATTGCTGTAGTGCCTTACTTGGTAGAAAGAAATCTCTCCTCTCTACTTTAAAGTAGCCAAAATCCTAAAGAGGAGGAGATGTGCCTGCTTTTTTGAAACGCAGCCTTTTTTCCTGTTACCATTTCTCATACAGCAAGTCCCTAATAGGATGATAGTGAATGCCATGAATTTGGGCATTAAGGCCCTGCTTTAATTTTTTTTTTTTTAGTCAGGCCTTAAACACACATAGACTGAAAGTTTGTGATATGGAGTTTAATATATGTGGACAAAAAGTATTCCATTGTTTGCAGTATTGAAATAATATGTGATTTAGACTGAACAGACTTTTATTAGGGAGAAAGCTTAACTGCAAGAGCAATATAATTCTACCTGTGGAAAATCTTTGGCATTCAGAGATAATTCAGAAGATCTCAGTAACTACTGGGGGGGGGCTGTCCTGCAGATCATAGGATTGCACCTGAAATGATAATGTTATTGCACCATTGCTAAATTTTAATGAAAAACATGACGTCGACGGGTTTCTGAATTTATCAAGTGTCTTTAACTACATTAGCCAGGAGAATAAAAGCTGGGAAAATGTTTCACACCATCCAGAACTACTCACTAATTTCTATGTAAAAATGTAAACTGAAGGAATGTTTGAGTCTTCTCAAGAGCCTTGTCCTCAGCAGTGTCTTCTCACTAGAAACTCTTCTGCCAGAGAGGAAGCAGTTGCACAATTCTGACAGGTCCTACAAAGGTTGAACGCCTCAGGTGTTGGAGGCCACCATATCTGGGCTGCAGAAGTCTGGATGACCACTAGGTAGCTGCAAGGCAATACAGAAACTTCCCTTTGCTGCCTGTTGGTGGTCATCTGGATTTTTGCAGCCCAGATGTGGTAGTCTTAACTGTTTCTCTGCAATGTTAATACATTCAGTATTCAGCTGATGTAACTGAACAATGAGGAAGGTGACCTGGAGACACTTGATCCTATGCACTTGGAGCCTCTAGAATCCAAAAAGGAGGAGGAGGAGGAGGAGGAGGAGGAGGAGGAGGAGGAGGAGGAGGAGGAGGAGGAGGAGGAGGAGGAGGAGGAGGAGGAGGAGGAGGA